CTGTGTTGGGTCAGCCCAGGTAAAAGTGTTTTATTCTGCTGACCTGTCTCAGAAGATTCATCTTGCTCTGTTTAGCAAGTTGTTATACTGCATTCCCACTTTGTGCATTGGTCCATGAGATGGCAGTTTGAGATGTTATCATCCCTGATGATCTAGAGGTCTCCAAAGGATGGTTTCCTTCTAGCACAAGACAAAATGAATTTCCTTCTGAGTATGTTCTACATTTCAAGGTAGAAATCATCTGACTCTGGTGCATCATAACGGATGGTAAAGTGATCCAAGCTGTGAAAGAACATGGGCATTGCTACCCTGAGATATAATGCTTGTATGTTGAGGTGTTATCATGAAAATCCTACAAGTCAATTAAACTAATTCTAAACAAAGCATGTGAGATCATATCAGTAATCAGCAGTGAAGCTGTTCAACTGATCTTCAGTCAAAATATTTTATTCCAGGTGACAATGTCAAAATAAATATTTGTTTTTTTGTAAAAGCAATGTTCTTAATTAAAACATTTTGTCAGCATGCAGCACAAACAAATGCTGGCATGCCTGTATTTCCCTCAAGATGAATTCCAAATTTTGTTCACCTCTGAGTGCAAACCCTTATTTGCAGAATAAGGCCCCTTGACTGTCTATATTGCAAGTTATTTTGTATTAAGCCTTGATGTAAAATGCCAATAAACAACAGATTTCAAATGAATCGATGAGTCGTTACCCCATTTTTTTTTTTTTTCTCAGCCTATGAGCTCTCAAATTGAAAGCCATCTTGCAGAAAGTGTTTATCCACACAAGTTTCTCTTTAAGACTTCTAGATATTAACAGCCTTATATAAGTTACATTTTCCTGCATTCTATCTCTCTTTCTCTTTCATGTGTCTCTGCACTCCTGTGGCTTTCAACTTCTTTCCGTTTTGAACTCCTATGACTTTTTTCTGTGGAAGTGTAGACCTCTGTATACCATATTCCAGGCTATTCACAAAAGCCTTTTATTTCTTAGTTACCCTCTGTTGATCTCTTAGAAGCTTTCCATGGGCTGCCAGACTGAAAAAACACAGATCTACTGTCAGACCCACATCCATTAGACTCTCCATTTCTCTTTCTCGACTGCATACCCATGCTTTTACTTATAGTATATATTCTTGATATCCTTGAATGCAAAGTTTGTCTCTGGCCAAGGGATTCCAAAAGAAAAGCTTTTGCCACGATTATCCCTTTCAGCTTTTATTGACTTGGAGTCTTGAGGGATCTCCTACTAAAGACTACTGAGGTCTTGTGCTAGTTAGAAGAAGAAAAAAAATGCCTTTTTTTTTTTTTTTTTGTTAATAAAAAGAGAAAGCAAACCTGAAACAGTCTAATATCAAAGTTTCCAAGGCAGTCTGAGCACCAGCAGTCTAGACATTGTTAAGAAACTGTACTCTCAGTTTTCAATTCTCCTTTACACTATTGTTCTCAGTCCAAACAGTTTTCCAGTACCTCAGTTGTTTTGTATATCACTTCAAGGTCTTTTTTACTTTCATTAATATTACAGGGATACTCAAACTTTTAAATGCTATGTCTTATTCTATGGACTCTGCCTAGACACCTGTGTGAATCAAGATGGCACTGAAGAAATATTGACCTCTCTTTTGTGTCCATGTCAGGTATCTCAGCAGTAGAACTGTAAAGTGCTTGTGAGACCTCTAATGGTGCACATGACACAATCTATACATATATAAATAACCAGAAGTCAGGCAAGAGAGATTGAAAGCATATAGTTAGGAATGGTACATTTGTGTATTTGTTGTAAAAAGTTATGTGAGCTATGACTGTGCCCTTGTGTCTCCTTTGCCTTGATTTTGCAAAAGACACAAAGGACCACAAATAACCTGCCTTTTGTGCACCTGTTTTATGGAGAATCCTTTGAAATGATGCAGTATATGGTATGCAGGCTGTTTTTGTTGGGTTGTAAGGACTTCTGTTATCTCTTTTGGGTCTCTCCTCACAGAAGGGTACTGTCATGCTGGCTAACAAAGAAAGCTCTTGAAACAAACTCCATATACCTTTTCCACCTATTTCAGCATAGCAGGGAGGATATTCCTAGATGCAGTTCCAGGCTCTGGCTGAACCCTCCTTATCCCTTATTCAGTCTACTGATGTTGTCCATAGCATGAGCTTATTGGTGGTCTCAATGCTCTTCCTTTCTGAATATAAGAACATTACTAACTCTGAGCAGGCTTCCCAAACAATAGCAAGAAGCTTCAAAGCACTGCATGCAACTCATTGTAGCCATGGGGGCAGCCAAACTGACCCAAAGAGGACTTGAGAAAGGTATGCAGCTCCCCAGGTGCTGAGAGTATGTCAGAAGACACTGCATAATCTCTGCTGATTATTTACCTTGTCTAAGCTTAGAGGGGCAATTTCAGACAAGATGATGTTTGGAGCCTTTTAACAAGCAGGAGGAATCATGGTTCAGACATATATGATTATGGTGGCTGTGACTCCTTGATATAGCTCTTTAAATCAGGGGTGTTACATGCAGCAGTCATTGGACCCCACTGACAGTGGCTACAAGGCAAATTGTGATCAAGGAGAGTACAGTCTCTGTCTTTGCATTGTCTCAGGAATATTCAGTTTTGCAAAATGGAAATATGAAAAATTGAATGGGAAGAAATCCAGTTCTGAAGTTCTCAAAAGGGAATTGCAAAAGAACTGATCTGTTTTTAAAAGCCTTATACAGCCTGAAGCTTCTGATTAATTTATTGAAAAAGTGTTCATGAAAGATGCAACCAAACCCAAATGTCCTGCTTCGGCAAAGAACGTATTCAGGATGAAAAGCCCAGGGCCCTGCCCTGCCAGCATGGAGAGAACATTTCAGCTGTCATCCAAGTAGGCATCTGTCATTCCCATCAGAGCAGGAATAGTGTGATTTCAGGCCTAATTTATAGAACATTAGTGATATTGAATGGAGATCAGGGTGCTCAGAAACTATGCAAACTAGGACCCAAAACTACAAATGCTGCTTCTTTTTTCTTTTTCCTTGCCTGTATGAAAGCCTCAAGGAATATGAAGTTATCTCTAAGTCTATTTCTGTTGCCCAGGCTTTCTTTCCACAGTGACGGGCTGATCCTCACATATTTGCATGATGGTCTGACCCAGTTTGAACAAAATTATATGCTGATCAGTAAAAAAAAGAACACACCTTTTGGATTATTATTCAAATGAAAAGGAGACCCAGAACAGCATGTCATGTTCACTGCTGCGTGGTGATGCTTCTGAGTGACCAAGTTGTAGTAAAATAGACACGTGGAGAAGCAAGACTCTGCCTTATGGTGCAAAAACTTCCTCCAGGCCACCAGCTTAGTACTATCCAGAATGCTGCTGTGACAAGAGCTGTGGGATGTGGCTTCTATGTATGAAAATAAAGTTTGCTTTTTAGTAATAATTGTAGTTTAGCTGGGTGTCAGGGCTACGCAAACACAGTGTACTTAAGGCATTACTTCCTTGGGTGCTCCAGGATCTCCTCCTACAAGGATGAGACAATGGACTAATCTGACATTATGGATAACCTGAAGTTAAAGCTTCAACCTGGTAATTGACTAAAACTTAGGTATTTGGCTGTCCCAGAAACTCTCCAGGACAATTTTAGTGCTGTGTCCAGCACTAAAGATGTTGATTAACACCCTGAAAGGAGTGTCCCAAAGACTCTTCTAGATGTTCCCAATTCAGAAGAGGTCACATTTTACATAGCTAAGACATTTATAGACACTCAATAGATCTGTTCCTGAATAAATTGTCACAGAAGACAGTCATGTAGTGAAGATCAATTATGTATTTGTTGAGCTGGTCACACAGGGCTGTGGCCAGCTAGGTTATAAGAATTGAACAGAACAAATGTTTGGGTTGTCTCTCTTGGTTCAGCTGATGATGCTGCTGTAGATACCATATACCCTTGCAATGGAGACTACTTACACCTCTGGTCGGGAACCTGATGCTGTATTGAGAGATTTTATTTCCTATGCAGGCATTGCCCTGTGCCAAGATTCCTCTAATTATTTTCTTTAGCAAAGACTCTGTTCCAGGTGTCCATGTGATATCTTGCTCTTTGCATTGTGGCACATGGGAGTGATCCCAGCATGAGCCTGCAAGCAGAGAGAAGAGGCCAATACTCCAACCACCACCACAGACTGTGGGATCTCCCTCTTGCAAGTGTTCTGCTCGGAAGTAATTTACCTCATGGGCACCTTCTCTGCTTAGGGACTTTGCCCACTTCGTTTACGTGTAGG